AGTCTACCTACATACGCACGAACCTACACAAACACATACACACACACACGCATACCCATACACACACACACGCATACCCAGACACACACACACACGCATACCCAGACACACACACACACACACGCATACCCAGACACACGAACACACGAACACACACACACACACGAACACACACACGAACACACACACACACACACACGAACACACACACACACACGCATACCCAGACACACACACACACACACACGAACACACACACACACACGCATACCCAGACACACACACACACGAACACACACACACACACGCATACCCAGACACACACACACACACACGCATACCCAGACACACACGAACACACACGAACACCACACGAACACACACGAACACACACGAACACACACGAACACACACGAAACACACACGAACACACACGAACACACACGAACACACACGAACACACACGAACACACACGAACACACACGAACACACGAACACACGAACACACGAACACACACGAACACACACACACACGAACACACACACACACGAACACACACACACACGAACACACACACACACGAACACACACACACACGAACACACACACACACGAACACACACACACACGAACACACACACACACGAACACACACACACACGAACACACACACACACGAACACACACACACACGAACACACACACACACGAACACACACACACACGAACACACACACACACGAACACACACACACACGAACACACACACACACGAACACACACACACACGAACACACACACACACGAACACACACACACACGAACACACACACACACGAACACACACACACGAACACACACACACAACACACACACACGAACACACACACACACGAACACACACACACACGAACCACACACACACACGAACACACACACACACGAACACACACACACACGAACACACACACACGAACACACACACACACGAACACACACACAACAGAGATCCCCCGTATAGCCTTAACAGACTGTAGGGGCAAGTGCTGTTAGCGAGCACCTATGAAGGCCGGAACGGTACACGAGGGGGTGGGTGGCCAGCACCACGCCCGACCGCCTTTGTCTCCCCAGTGGCGATGTTTACACACCACACCAGGTACTCATTTCAGGCTGAGTCGACCTAGGGGAGGCCCAGGACCGGTTCAGATAATCGTCACTGGTGTTGGCCGTGAGCGGGAATCGAACCCGGGTCGCTAGGTTCATAGCGCAGCGCGCTAACCACTACACTACCGCTCCCCACTACACACACACACAAGCGCATACACACACACACAAACACACACACACATTCACGCACACACGCGCCTGAATAAGGGCCGCCTTTGTCTCCCCACCATTCACGGCCACGCGCGCGCCCCGCGCAGCGCAATTGCTGCTCCGATTAGCGCTGTTGGCTACGTACGGCGCGAAAGAAGTTCAACGTACTGTCCACACAAAGATCCCCCGTGTAGCCTTAGCAGACTGTTGGGGCAAGCGCTGCTAGCGAGCACCTATGAAGGCGGGCACGGCACACGAGGGGGTGGGTGGCCAACACCACGCCTGGCCACCTTTGTCTCCCTAGTAGCGATGTTTACACACCGCACCAGCTATTCATGTGAGGCTGAGTCGACCTAGGGGAGGTCCAGGACCGGTTCAAATCATCGTCACCGAGCGAGCGGGAGGGTGAGCGAGCGGGCGGGCGAGCGAGCGGGAGGGCGAGCGAGCGAGCGGGCGGGTGAGCGAGTGGGTGAGCGTGCAGGTGAGCGAGCGGGTGGGCGAGCGGGTGGGTGAGCGAGCAGGTGAGCGAGCGGGTGAGTTAGTGGGTGAGTGAGCGAGTGAGCGGGTGAGCGAGCGGGCGGTTGGGCGAGCGGGCGGGCGGGCGAGCGAGCGGGCGGGCGAGCGAGCGGGCGGGTGAGCGGGTGAGCGAGCGGGCGGGTGAGCGAGCGAGCGGGTGAGCGAGCGGGCGGGTGAGCGAGCGGGCGGGCGGGTGAGCGGGCGGGTGAGCGAGCGAGCGGGTGAGCGAGCGAGCGAGTTGATGCGCGACACGGCGGCAGAGATTGATGGGTGGCGAGTGGGTGGCTGATTGCGTGAGCTGACGGGTGCGAGCGAGTTCGAGTTCGTTCGAGTTGAGGTTGCGCAGCCGGGCGAGCGAGCGAGTCTCTGGAGGTCACGGCGAGGGTTGACCTCTGTCTGGGTCGCTGGGCGGGTGGGTGTCTCGTCATGCCTGGGGGACCCTGCTGGGCATCCGTGCGTGGTATAAGGGGCCGTCCATAAATGACGTCACGCACCTGGGGGGGGGTCAGACATTTGTGACGATGTGTGACGAGTGGGGGGGGGGGGTTGAGGAATGTGACGTCGCGTAAAATGCGCGACTTTAAATCAATACAGACAACACGTTCTACTTAATTAAATAGACTTTGTGTAATACATGTTTTCTCCTACAACATCAGAATGCAGCGCCACATTAAATACGCACTACAATGACAATAGTTTAAAGCGATTTTGAAGCATGTTGTATTTTCAAAATGGAAATATGGTTTTTGGGGGGGGGGGCAGAGCTTTGTGACGTCATATTTGAGGGGGGGGGGTCTGCCTTTTTGTGACGCCGTGTGACGAGGGGGGGGAGGGGGTCAAAAATCGTCCAAAATCGCGTGACGTCATTTATGGACGGCAGCAAACTCCTCCGCGCGCGTTGATTTTGTCTTCAGTTAAATTAAATTAATTTATTTGTATTTTTTATTTCAGCAGGTAAGAACCCTGCTTAGCTATGTACAGCTGTTTTCCAGAAGCGAGCTGGCTATCACAAATGATAGCTCAACGAGGTGGATCATCATCATCACGTGGACATTTCTAGCAGCCAAATACTCTACAACGCGTGGTCACGTTCATTATGAAATGTAGCAGGGAAAACACCGCAGGACACGGAGAAAAATCTACGCGACCAGAGAGAGACACGCAAACTCCAAATATACAGCAGGTATCGTCATCGTCAGGGTCGGGATCGAACCCACGACCTCCTGCACACCAGGCGAGGTAGTTAACATCTCCTAGCCACCGTGATGATGATGAGAGAGAGAGACACCGCAAACTCCAAATATACAGCAGGTATCGTCATCGTCAAGGTCGGGATCGACCCCACGACCTCCTGTACACCAGGCGAGGTAGTTAACATCTCCTAGCCACCGTGATGATAATGAGAGAGAGAGACACGCAAACTCCAAATACACAGCAGCAGGCGTTGGGGTCGGGATCGAACCCACGACCTCCTGTACATCAGGCGAGGTAGTTAACATCTCCTAGCCAATGTGGTGATGATGAGAGAGACGCAGACTCCTAATATACAGCAGCAGGCGTCAGGGTCGGCATCGAACCCACGACCTCCTGTACACCAGGCGAGGTAGTCAACATCTCCTAGCCATCGTGATGATGATGAGAGAGAGAGACACGTAAAATCCAAATATACAGCAGCAGGCGTCAGGGTCTGGATCGAACCCACGACTTCCTGCACACCAGGCGAGGTAGTTAACATCTCCTAGTCACCCTGATGATGATGAGAGACATCGCAAACTCCAAATATACAGCAGCAGGCGTCAGGGTCGGGATCGACCCCACGACCTCCTGCACACCAGGCGAGGTAGTTAACATCTCCTAGTCACCCTGATGATGATGAGAGACATCGCAAACTCCAAATATACAGCAGCAGGCGTCAGGGTCGAGATCGAACCCACGACCTCCTGCACACCAGGCGAGGTAGTTAACATCTCCTAGCCACCGTGATGATGATGAGAGAGAGAGAGACACGCAAACTCCAAATATACAGCAGCAGGCGTCGGGGTCGGGATCGACCCCACGACCTCCTGCACACCAGGCGAGGTAGTCAACATCTCCTAGTCACCCTGATGATGATGAGAGAGACACGCAAACTCCAAATATACAGCAGCAGCAGTAGGCGTCAGGGTCGGGATCGAACCCACGACCTCCTGCACACCAGGCGAGGCAGTTAACATCTCCTAGCCATCGCGGCGCATATTGCATCTGGGCGCGGGCGTGGTTCCCGTTATGGCAGCACGTGGAATCAATCACACGGGGAATGTGGCTGTTTGGCTGCGCGTGTATCTTGTGTGTGTGGTGTGGTTGTGTGTGGGGTGTGTGTGTGTGGGGTGTGTGGCTGTCTGTGTGTGTGTGTGGGGCTGTGTGTGTGTGGGGTGTGTGTGGGGCTGTGTGTGTGTGGGGTGTGTGGCTGTGTGTGTGTAGCTGTGTGTGGGGCTGTGTGTGTGTGTGGGGTTGTGTGTGTGTGGGGTGTGTGTGGGGCTGTGTGTTTGTGGGGTGTGTGTGGGGCTGTGTGTGTGTGGGGGGCTGTGTGTGTGGGGCTGTGTGTGTGTGTGGGGCTGTGCGTGTGTGGGGTGTGTGTGGGGCTGTGTGTGTGGGGGGGGTGTGTGTGGAGTTGTGTGTGTGTGTGGGGGGTGTGTGTATGTGGAGCTGTGTGTGTGTGTGGGGTGGGTGTGTGTGGGGTGTGTGTGTGTGGAGCTGTGTGTGTGTGTGGGGTGTGGGGTGTGTGTGTGTGGAGCTGTGTGTGTGTGCGGGGTGTGTTTGTGTGTGTGTGGCTGTGTGTGTGTGTGGGCGTGGGGCTGTGTGTGTGTGGTGTGTGTGTGGGGCTGTGTGTGTGTGTGGAGCTGTGTGTGTGTGGAGCTGTGTGTGTGTGTGGGGCTGTGTGTGTGTGGGGCTGTGTGTGTGTGGAGCTGTGTGTGTGTGGTGTGTGGGGCTGTGTGTGTGTGCGGGATGTGTGTGTGTGTGGCTGTGTGTGTGTGGGGCTGTGTGTGTGTGTGGGGCTGTGTGTGTGTGTGGGGGGCTGTGTGTGTGTTGTGCGTGGTGCTGGCCACCCACCCCCTCGTGTGCCGTTCCACCCTTCATAGGCGGTGCTACTCGCAAACAGCACTTGCCCCAACAGTCGCTGGGCTACACGGGGGACCTTTGTGTTTTCCAATGGGTGTGTGATGCCTCTGTATGTGTGTGTGTTTGTCCGGGTGTGTTTCAGCAGAGGTGTGGACTCGAGTCATGTGACTTGGACTCGAGTCAGACTCGAGTCATGAATTTGATGACTTCAGACTCGACTTGGACTTGCATAACAATGACTTTGTCCCACCTCTGTGTTTCAGATCTGCCACGTGATCGAGTCTTTAGCACCGTACGCCCCACCACGATGCCTCCAAGGTAACAACATCATCATCATGAGCCGTGGTCGATCTACTGCTGGATGAAGGCATCCTCCTTCAGCAATAGCCGTCTCCACTGTGAGCGAGCGTGCGGGGAGCGGTGGCGCAGCGGTTAGCGCGCTACGCTACGAACCCGGCGACCAATACCCAGTGACGGCTATCTGGCCCTCCCCTAGGTCGACTCAGTCTCAAATGAGTAGCCGGTGTGGTGCGTAGGTGAACATCGCCACGAGGGAGAGACAAAGGCGGTCCGGCGTGGTGCTGGTAGCCACCCACCCCCTCGTGTGCCACAGTGCCGGCCTTCATAGGTGCTCGCTACTCGCTAACAGCACTTGCCCCGACAGCCTGTTAGAGGCTACACGGGGGATCTTTGTCTTTTCTTGTGCCGGTCTTAATTGTGGGGGAGCGGTGGCGCAGCGGTTAGCGCTACGAACCCCGGCGACCCGAGTTCGATTCCCGCTCACGGCCACCACCAGTGACGATAACCTAAACCGGTCCTGGGCCCTCCCCTAGGTCAACTCAGCCTCAAACGAGTACCCGGTGCGGTGTGTAGTAAACATCGCCACTGGGGAGACAAAGGCGGCCGGGCGTGGTGCTGGCCGCCCACCCCCTCATGTGCTGTGCCGGCCTTCATAGGTGCTGCTACTCGCTGGCAGCACTTGCCCAGTTTATTATGGAGGCTACACGGGGGATCTTTGTCTTTGTCTCTGTGTGTCCTCAGGATCTGCAGATCCGTCTGACAGGCTGGGCTGTGAATGGGTGAGTACCTCCTCATATCACCATGGTAACGGTGGTTGGTGGTGATGATGGTGGTAGTGATGGTGATGCTAGTGATGGTGGTGGTGTTGATGATGGTGGTGATGTCATGGTGGTGATGATGATGTTGATGACGGTGATGGTGATGTTGGCAGCCTGAGTTTATGGTGGCGATGATGATGGTGGCGATGTTGATTATGTTGATGGTGGCGGTGGTGGCGGTGTGGGTAGATGGTGGCGATGTTGATGATGAAGTTGATGATGGTGGCGGTGTTGATGATGTTGATGATGTTGATGATGGTGGCGATGTTGGTGGCGGTATGGGTAGATGGCGGCGATGTTGATGATAAAGTTGATGATGGTGGCGATGTTGATAATGTTGATGATGTTGATGATGGCGGCGGTGTTGGCGGTGTGGGTCGATGGTGGCGATGTTGATGAAGTTGATGATGGTGGCGATGTTGATGATGATGTTGATGATGGTGGCGATGTTGATGATGGCGGCGATGTTGATGAAGTTGATGATGGTGGCGATGTTGATGATGATGTTGATGATGGTGGCGATGTTGATGATGGCGGCGATGTTGATGATGTTGATGATGGTGGCGTTGTTGATGATGTTGATGATGGTGGCGATGTTGATGATGATGTTGATGATGGTGGCGATGTTGATGATGGTGGCGATGTTGATGATGTTGATGATGGTGGCGATGTTGATGATGGCGGCGATGTTGATGATGTTGATGATGGTGGCGTTGTTGATGATGTTGATGATGGTGGCGATGTTGATGATGATGTTGATGATGGTGGCGATGTTGATGATGGCGGCGATGTTGATGATGGTGGCGATGTTGATGATGGCGGCGATGTTGATGATGATGTTGATGATGATGTTGATGATGGTGGCGGTGTTGATGATGGTGGCGGTGTTGATGGTAGCGATGTTGATGTTGGTGGCGATGTTGATGATGGCGGCGATGTTGATGATGATGTTGATGATGGTGGCGATGTTGATGATGATGTTGATGATGGTGGCGATGTTGATGATGATGTTAATGATGGATGGTGGCGATGTTGATGATGGCGGCGTGTGCAGGCGGCGCCGTTCAATGCCAGGAGGAGCAGGAGAGCCATCTTCGCTCCCGAGCTGCTGGTATCCGAGAATCAGCGGCCACCGTTTCCACGTCGCATCGGAAAGGTCAGCCCCCCACCCCCCCTCGCTCTCCACACAAAACTCAGGGTGGTGTAGTGGCGGGGACGGGGAGTTCTAACCACTTTAAAAAAACCGGTAACCGTTTTGAGAACCGAACGTCGAGCAACGAACGCAAGCGGTCCGGGGCACGCGCGCGGACGTACAAATAACACTGGTCAAAAATTTTTTTTTTCTGGCCTGGACTTTTGCAGCTGTTTTAGACTAATTTCAGGGTGCTGATTCCAAATCTGATCTCAGATTTGCTCTATCACATATCAATTGTATGCAATCGGCATACCCCATTTTCATTGATTTTACCTGAAATTAACTCCGTCACTTATGATTGCAAGTTGTTGCGAGTCAGTGACTGCTTTAGTGTTAAAATATGGTGCTGTATTTTTAGGATAGTGTGTTTATAATATCATTTTATGTAGATATCCACATTTATTTAATATTTTTCTTCTGCAGTTTTTATTGAAAATGCAATTTTTGATATCTCAAAAACCTGATGTGATGGACAAAACCTGATGCCAGATTTCGAATCAGCACCCCAAAATTACCTTAAAACCGTTGGAATACCTTAATGCAGAACAAGTGTGCTGACCAGTGATATCATCAACATCCCTCAACAACTTCGAGCATAGACTACGGGCACGCCTGATCAGCAAAACTACCCAGTAGCCTCTCCTCCATGGAGCCTAACTCAAGCACAAAGATCCCCCATGTAGCCTGTAACAGACTGTAGGGGCAAGTGCTGTTAGCGAGCACCTACGAAGGCCGGCACGGTACACGAGGGGGTGGGTGGCCAGACAAAAACCGATGCCAGATTTGAAATCAGCACTACAAAATTACCTTAAAACAGTTGGAAAACCTCATGCCAGAAAAAGTGTGTTGACCAGTGTCATCCACGACGTAACCACACGGGGCCTTTTTTGGCAGCGTCGAAGTATGAAAAAATCAAGAGCAACTTTTACCCCTTCCTGGCAATGATCCACGAGGCCATTCCGACCCACCGACTCATTCTTCGCAGTTAACGACCGTGCCGTCCACTAAGATCCCACCAACGGGCCGCCCGCGTGTGTCGGAGAGCCGGGAAATGAAGGGAACCTGCAGGGGGTAAAGGGCCCGTACTAGGCAGGATGGTGGGTGGATGAAGGCCAACTTGAAGAAGTGAGTTTCATTTTATTTTAAAAACGGTGCCAACGACTCGGATTTATCGCGTCCGCAAGAGCCCGGCCCACCCCTCGTCATGGTTACGCATTGAAACACGCGTCTGGAACACATTCCTGCGGAGGGAGCTGGTAGGAACGTTGGGTTGCTTGGTCAATGGCCTGCAGGGTCAACGGCGGCGTGGTGTATTCCGCAAATATGGCCGACTGTGAGGGCGGGCACAAGCCGGCGTGAGTAGGTTAAACGTTGAGTTTTATAAGGGCACCACGGGGTGACCAGCCTCTCCCCACCCAGTCCCACCCCTCCAACCCCCCACCCAGCCCCACCCTCCCCTCCCCACCCTCCCCACCCAGCCCCTCCCCACCCTCCCCACCCAGCCCCTCCCCACCCAGCCCCTTCCTCCCCACCTAGCCCCTCCCTGCACGACGGACGGACGGACACAATAATCTCCTGTGGGCTGGTGTAACCAGGAGGTTCCTACCAGTATTATTTTAGATATCTTTGCTTTCCAAACGACGATATCATCCACCGCGTTTGAGCTGCCATGTGCGGTGGCCAGGCCGCTTCTGAATAACAAGCAGACAGCTCAATGGGGTCTTACCTGGTACGATAAGAAAAATGTAGTTAAGTTTTATTTGTTTTTATTTTTATAGTTTTTATTTTTTTACCTTTCCTATACTTTGCACTCCTGTCGTATTTTTGTATTGTTTGTTGTTGTTGTGTTTACGCACGTACACACACGCACGTACACACGCAACACATGCACACGTGTGGGCACGTGCGTGCGTGTGTTCGTGCGTATGACGAGCCTTGCCGCGGATAGCGCAGCCCGCTCAGCAAGATTTGTGGTACGCACATACGCACGCACGTACCTACGCGTGCGTGCCTGCCTACAAACGCACGCACGCATGTACCTACGCGTACGTGCCTACATACGTACGCACGCACGTACGTAGCTACGGGTGCGTGCCTACATACGTACGCACGTACGCACGCACGCACGTATTTACAGGTGCCTGCCTACATACGTACGCACGCACGCACGTATTTACAGGTGCCTGCCTACATACGTACGCACGCACCTATGGGTGCGTGCCTACATACAGTGTTGGGGCGGTGGTGGCCTCTGTTAAACGACGCGAGCGCGGCGGGGGCGGCGGCGTGTTGGTTCGTTTAACGCGTTGGCCCGATAACCAACGAGGCGCGGAAACGTTTTTTTTGAAACTCGCCCGAACCTCCCGTGCCACCCCAGGTGTGGAGGTCGAGCAACGCGGAGGACGGCCACAGGTTCACGCTGTCCGCGTCGGGCAGCATCGAGGACCCCACCCGGACGTTCTCCATCGACGCGACGTCGGGCGACGTCTACGTGCTCCGAGCCCTCGACCGCGAGCGCAACGCCACCCACCAGGCGCGGCATCCCCACGCGTCGCTCCTGCTCCTCCTCGTGACGCCCTCCTCCTCGTGCCCTCTGCCGCTTCTCGCCCCGCGTGATTGGTCGTCAATTGTTTAAGCGCGACCTCTTGCCCGTGTGTCCTCCGTTGCTACGTCTCCGCCCTCTGCGGTTCTCTTCGTCAATCTCAATGTCCTCCAATCTCAATGTCCCATCTCAATGTCCGATCTCAACGTGCTTCCATTTCAATGTCAATCTCAATGTCAAATCTCAATGTCCCATCTCAATGTCCTCCAATCTCAATGTCAATCTCGATGTCCTCCAATCTCAATGTCAAATCTCAATGTCCTCCCATCTCAATGTCCTCCAATCTCAATATCAAATCTCAATGTCCTCCAATCTCAATGTCAAATCTCAATGTCCTCCCATCTCAATGTCCTCCAATCTCAATATCAAATCTCAATGTCCTCCAATCTCAATGTCAAATCTCAATGTCCTCCCATCTCAATGTCCTCCAATCTCAATATCAAATCTCAATGTCCTCCAATCTCAATGTGAAATCTCAATGTCCTCCCATCTCAATGTCCTCCAATCTCAATATCAAATCTCAATGTCCTCCAATCTCAATGTCAAATCTCAATGTCCTCCCATCTCAATGTCCTCCAATCTCAATATCAAATCTCAATGTTCTCCCATCCCCCCCCCACATCCCCCACAGCTGACGGTGTCGGTGATGAACCGCTCGGGCGTCGAGGTGGAGGGTCCCACCGTGATGCTCGTCCACGTGCTCGACCAGAACGACAACCGCCCGCGCTTCCAGCACGAGCCCTTCCATGCGCAGCTGCCCGAGCACGCGCCCCGCGGTGACGCGCGCACTCACACACACAGACAAAGGTTCCCCGTGTAGCCTCAACAGACTGTTGGGGCAAGTGCCGTTATTACATATGTCTTTTCGAACTTCTTTCGCACCGTACGCAGTCAACCGGAGCTTATCGGAGGTGCGATGGACGCATTCGCGTAGACAAAGCTCTCCCGTATTGAGATTGGACATTTTTTTATCGGTCGAGGGAATGTGCCTCCCCCCCCCCCTGCACCCCCTCCGCGTGCGCAGGTCACCACGTGATCCACGTGGAGGCGGATGACCCGGACAACCCGGAGACGGGGAACGCGGAGCTTCGCTACTCGCTGGGGCCTCCGCGCCCGCCGCCCGCCAATCGCTCGGCCGTCAGCTTCGCCATCGACCCCCTCCGTGGCGACATCACCACAACCTCTGACCCGCAGCTGCTCGACCGCGAGGTGCAGTGATTGGCGGGCCCGGCGGTCGCCCTTGGCGGCGATCGCGGCGGCAACGGGGGTGGCGACGGTGACGTAGCCTTGAGGGCCGTTGGAACGCCAAAACACCACCGCCACCACGATAAGGTTACGATCCTTCGGTGGGGGCTACGGTGAAGTAGAAAAAATAATTTGCCATTACCTTCTTCTTGGTTCTTTCGGTAAAGTCACGTAGAAGGGAAGTAATAAAATAATAAAAATAAAACATAATAAAATAATTCTCACGACGTTTCGGCCACAATGCAAGCAGCCGTCCTCAGGTGAAAACCAGGTCTGTCGAGGCGACAGCGTCTGAATGAAACAGCACAGACGGCTGCTTGCGTTGTGGCCGAAACGTCGTGAGAATTGTTTTGTTATGTTTAAATTTGTATTATTTTATTACTTCCCTTCTACGTGACTTTACCGAAAGAACCAAGAAGATGAATCCCTGCAGTCACGAAAGCTTTAAATCGAAATTTGCCATTACCGTTAAGCGAAAAAAATGCGAGAAATAAAGTAAGAGCCGGTTGTCCCGCACAGATACAGAAGTGCGACGCGAACTCCACAACGGCCTTGCCCATTCCCGATGCCGACCTCACACACCGCGCAGATATTAACCAGGACGGCCCGCGCGGCCGTTCGCCGGGCTCCGAACCGCGAACCCCCCCCACCCCCCCTCCTCCCAACACGCCGTGACAGCGTCCACCACGCCGTCACCCTGTCTCCCGACCCGCTCCGAGTGCAGGCGCTGGCCACGCTCACCTACGAGCTGGTGGTGAGCGTGTCGGACATGGCCGGCGGCGACTCGGGCCTGGTGAGGAGCAGCACGGTCACCGTCACCATCGCCGACATCAACGACAACCCACCCGTCTTCCACCCCACCACGCGGGTACTGGACCTTCACCCCCGGAGACACCCCGGGGACACCATGGGGACATCCCCTCCCCTCACACCGTCTCCTCCTCCTCCTCCTCCCGTCTCTCTCCCCATCTCCCGTCTCGTGTGTATCCCCTCGTCTCC